GCGTCCACTACCGTTCTCAGCACTTTTATAGAGGCGTCTCCTGACATTGACAGCTAGTTATCATGCAGCCAACAGAGACATTTAAAAATAAAGCGAGGTCACATTGAAGCTGGATAGGTCAAATGGAAGATAAGACGTAAGTTATCATCATTGATTATATTGATATTTAAAAACAGGGCTCTTTAATTCTTTGAAACAAGAACTATGGAAAAATGCTTTCTTCATCAAGTTTGGTCTACAAAACTGCTGAACATAAAAATATGCTTCATTCTCTTCTTCATTCTCTGGTTGGTCAATATGTCGGTGGTTTCATCTGTAGTTTTAGTGCTATGATATTTGGGAAGATTCTTTTGCCTTCTTAATGCAGATAATGCCAGGCAATCACTACTCATGTCACAAAAAATAACAACTGTGCTGACCACCAGTGAAACACACTAGCAAAATAGAGCTCTGATCAGGCTTGAGGCCTATTGATTTACCAGAAGCACAGGAGAGAGAGGGTGACAAAGGACACCATGTAGAGGTGCCAGCCCAGGCAGACTGGGGACGCCCTCTAAGAAAAATAACCTGGGCTTACTACAAAAATTTGCAAGGAAAAAACAGAAGGGGAGACTTGTTTTATTTCATTTTATGCAGTTTGTACAGGGTCTTACTATGCAGCTCAGACTCGTTAGTGATCCTCCTGCTTTCAGCCTTCCCAGCACTGGGATTACAGGTCTGCGCCATCAGGCCCAGACTTGAGACTTGATAGAAAACAATTCCTAAGACTCTTCAATCAATTACACAGTACAGAGCTGATTTGGATCGAGACTAAACAGCTGTACTATAAATGACAATTTAATGAGAATGTGAAATGGTGAACAGCGAGTGACCTTTTAATAGTATTCGGGAATTACTCAGTTTGTGGTTGTATTCTTAAAATGAGCCTTGGATCTTTACAGATGAAATGATCTGAGGTCTGGCATTAGCTACAAATTGAATTGGGGGTGATTACGTTTAAAAAACAAGCCTTAGATCTTTCCAGAGGAAATGCTTTGAGGTCTGACATTAGCTACAAATTGAACTACGGGGTAGAGTAGAGATGAAGTAGGACTGGTAAGTGACTGGCCATTGTTAAAGCTAGGAATGGGAATTAGAAGAATACCTTCCTGTATGGTTAAATTTGTCTATAAAATAGTTGAAAATGTAATGAAAACAGGAAAAACTAAAACTCAGAGGTCCCATCTAAACAGTGTGCCCTCTGTGCTCTCTTTTGTTTGTGATATGCAGTTGTCTAAGGTTTTCCTCAGCCAGAAGGAACTTTTATGCTTTTTAGAAATGCTGTAAGGTCACTTTTGAATATGATTGTCTTAAACAGCTTGAATATTGCCTTAAAATATATTCGAGCCTTTTACTGAAATAGCATTTGATATTTTGCCTTTTTCAGTGGTTTTCTCCAGACTTGACACCTACTAGTGAGGATTAAATGGGAAACTCTATTTACAATAAATGTGTCATTCTCTGAAAAATAATTTTTGGAGTCACAACAGTGGACCCCTCAAGTTACAACGGGGCTCACACACAACCAACTTGGGTTATAACCACAACTTTAGGTTTAAGTTATGACCAGAGCCTTGAGTTAAGATCCAAATGCCAGCTGCTCATGCAGTTGTAAACACTCCCGGTGCCAGAAAGTGTATGTAAACATATCTAAGTGACAGTCTGTGCTCAGATGCATGTTTGTGGATGTGATTTCAGTCAGGGCTTTGTATAACTGCTACAATTATTGTTATCAAAATGGCCCTCGAAAAGCTAGAAGAGAAGCTAAGGGGAAGGGAAAGCAACCATCACACTCAAAAAGAAATTGTGGGGGCCATGGAGATAGCTCAGTAGAATAAGCACTTGTTTGACAAGCACAAGGGCCTGAGCTCAATCCCCAGTTCCACAAAAAAAAAAAAAAAAAAAAATGTGGAGAAATCTGAGAGTGGTATTCATGTGATTACTCTCACTGATATGTACAACATGTTGAAATTCACCATCATGAAAATCTTACAGGGAAAAGATTTGTATAAGGAAGCTAGTGTTGCTAAAGGTGTTGCTCAACTTAGTCTTATTTAGATGAGGTATAAAGCTAAATGAAAGGCAAGTTATAATTTGAGTCTATAATTTGTGAAAAAGCTAGGGCTCATAAATGCAGATCTTATAAAGACTAACCCATCAACAAATGATAATGGTGAAACATTTTGTGCAGGAAGGGGTAGGTTCACAATCATAAAGCAAGAACTAGGGTTCATAGTGTAACTAGGCATGAAGCAGCCAGTGCTGATGAAAAGGACTGCTGGAAATTATATATACCACTTTGAAATGATTACACAGAGAAATGGCTTTTGCTTTCATCAAGATTTCAACTATGATGAAATGGGTCTTTTCTGGAAGAAAATGCCCATTACCCAAGGAGAAAAGAAAATGTGAGGCCACAGCTTATGAAGGTAGGCTAACCTTACTGCTATGTGCCAATGTGAGTGGTGACCTCAAAGAATTTCTTGGTGTATCATTCTGAGACCCCTAGAGTGTTCAGAAAACAAGGTTATGAAGACTAGGCTGAGGATCATATGAAGATCTAATGCAAAAGCCTGGGTAACAAGGGTACTTTTTCTTGATTGTGTCTGAGAACTCTTCTGTCCTATAGATATGAAATATCTAAAGGATAAAGGTTTAACACTCTAAGCTCTCATCACGGACAATACTCCTGCTCACCCATGAGATTTAGAAGAACTGGCTGAAGCATTCCCATGGCTCTCAGAGGACTTCCTCCCACCTAATTTAACTCCTTTACTGCAGCCTATGGAACAGCAGGTTATAGATAACTTTAAGAAGCTCTACACCAAGTAACTGCCCCTGAAGTGCTTCCAGATGATCTCAGATATGGATTTAACCCTTTAAGAGTTCAGGAAAGAACATTAAACATCCTTTTTTATATGGGGCTCATTGAGAAATCCTGGGCCATTGTCTAAGTACACTGAGATCTGCCTGGAAGAAAGTGTGCCCTAAAATTATCTAGGAGAGAGACTAAAGGATGTGTATAGCAGCCTGAGCCTTCCACTGACCCTGTGGTTGATGACACTGTCACTACAGCAGAGTCCATAGGCTTGCAGGTAGACAGTGGTGATGCTGAGGAATTTGTGGAGGAATACTCAGAGCAACTGTCTACAGGGGAACTTCAGCAACTTCTGGCTAGCAACAGAAAGTGGTAGTGAGGAGCTTTCTAAAGAGGAGTAGTAGCAACAGCCAGTGCAGCACAGTTCTGAAATAAAGGAAATCCTGAAAAAGTGGACAGAGCTACAGACATTTTGAGAGAAGACCCACCCAAACTTTTTTTTTTTGAGAGAAAAAGCCAATCACTGCATTCACTTGTTTAATGACAATATCATGTCATACTACAAAACAGGGTTAAAAAAAGACAAAAACAGACAACCTTAGATCAGTTTTTGGTTCTGAAGAGATAAGGTCTAGTGAGCAAGAAGCAGGTCTTTATTGGCTACAGAGTCTCCCAAGGAGAGAAAGGACATCAGAAAGCTAAGTTCCTGATGTTCTTATAGAAGGGGCCTCTCCCACGAACAATAACCACCTTCCACATCATTCTCCTTTCCTACAAGCCAAAGATGTCAACTTGAATGGTCAGTATAGTATGAAATTATTTTTGGTAAACTAGACACATTTTGTAACTTTTAAATGGCTACACTAGGAAAATTATGGGGGGTTCTGGTAAATTACACACATTATATAATCCCTTTTTATTATGAAAGGTTAGGTAAGGGGTGCTTTGGGAGGTTTGGAACACATTATAGATATTGCCATTATTTCTTATGGGAAAATAGTCTTGAGTTACAACCAACTTGAGTTACAACCAGCCCTGTGATTGAATTGAATTTGTAAGTCAAGTGTCCACTGTACCTGGAGTAACCTCTAATGATAAAAGTGCAAACAGCATATGGTGTAGTGTGCTCACCCAGGAAGAGAAACCCAAGATGTCTGGAATGAGACTAGAAGCTCCCATTTCCTGAATCAGAACATGCAGTGGTAGCCTAGGAGGCGGTGACTGCCATTAAAACCCATCAGCAATTCAGAACATGGATATTCCAAGTTCCTTAAGGCTCCTGCTAAAGTACAAGGTATATTTTTTATTGGAAAGCCTATTTCATTTAATTGAGAGACTCCTGGTGCACTGACTTGCCCCTGTGGAGCACATCCCCACTGTGAAGTGGAGAGGTGGCTTGGATGTGTGCTACACAGCTAAAGAAAGGCCCTCCCAGTGTAGAAAATAATGAAAAGATAAGCAGTACAAGAATGTGGACTAACCGTACCTGCTATAGCTGGACTACCACAGCACCTCGGGGAGACAGCAAGGAAGATGAGGAGGGAAGCACAGGCTTCTCTACTCTGATGATGGTGCAATTGGAGGGGATGCTCCCCCATCGCACTCACATCCCTGTTGGCTTCCTTAGCCAGGGTGGATTCTGAAGCGTGGGTCACCACAGTCCAGACCTTGCAAACATTCATGACTCCCTCCTCCTCCAGCACCCACACCCCAGTCAACTCCAACTGTTGCAGTAATGATGTGGTGTCTCAGGCCTGGGTGTCTCCTGTCCTCCTTAGGGACAGCTTAGGGTTAATTCATACACAGTACTCACACATTGGCTATACAGAGCAAACACTGACCTCAGGCCTCTTCAGAAAACAACAGGAAATGGAAGAAAATGCAAAAAAGGGGATTAAATAACTGAAAGACTGAAGCCAAGACCAAAGGCAGGGGAGATGAAAGCCTTGACAAAATGCAGCCAACAATCAACTATCCCATATAAATAGTCACTGACAAGATAAAGCAAAAACAAAGGCCTGAAGTTAGGAAGGCTGAAGGGGTGTGAGGGTGAAGGAAATCCAGAGACTGAGATGTCCCCAGCCCCCACATGGAAACAGAGCCTTCGCCTTGGGAGACCAGGGCAGCAAGACCATATACTCACAGGAGACACGGTTTCTGGTTTAGATGCCGAAGCTTTGAAGGTAGAAGTGTTTTTGGCAACATTCACTTGGTTATTAGCAGCAGCCCCTGTGGACAGACACTCCTGGTAGTCAGGTGGGGGGATGACGACGCTGCTCTTCTCGGACAGGTCCACGGTGCTGATGCTCCTCACTGGGGTGGGGCTCAAAGCCAAAACACAGAGCAAAGTCAGATATAGTCCTGCCACTTCCACTCCCAATGCCCAAATGTCCCATGGCCAAGGAACACACTACAGGAGGCCACCAATCAAAAAGTGTAAAGCAGCTTAGGGATATAACTCAGTGGCATAAGTGCCTGCCTGGCAAGCTCAATGTTACAAGTTCGATCCCCAGTACTGCAAAAAAAAAAAAAAAAGTATAAAACAGAAGGGAACTGTGACATATATATTTTATAAAGCACTGTAATACTTTCACTGGATTACAAATGTATACTCAAAAGAATTTTTTTTTTTTTTTTTGCAGAACCGGGGATTGAACTCAAGCCCTTGTACTTGCCAGGCAAGCGCTTATTCTACTGGTCCATCTCCCCAGCCCAAAATAAATTCTTTAAAAGGAATGAGAAAACGAGAAGAAAATGAGTTTAGTTATAGGCATTAAGTAATTTAACCTAGGGATACCAACAAAAAACTTAGTAATAACTGAGTATTTTAAGGTTAAGACAAATTTTTTTTTTAAAAAACTCAAGATTTTTTTGGTTTTTTTGGAGGGAGGCCTTGTACTGAGCTACATTCCCAGCAGGTTCTGAGACAACATCTTGCTAAGTGGCCCAGGCTGGTGTCCAACCAGTGATCCCCTGCCTCAACCCCTTGAGCAGCTGGGGCTACAGGTATGCACATGGCAAGCCTCAGATATTTTAAATCCTTAAAATGATAGTTTTTACTTTCTGGAATGAAGACATTTTAGCCATTCTGCTAAGTAGGGATGAAGGCAGGGGCTGCTGTCATAAGACACTTAACGAGGGGAAGACCTGAGATGTTACATGTGGTATTCCGGGGTCTGCTGGCACAGCTGGTTTATCTCAGACAGGGAACGCTGAGCAAGCATGGGGTCATTTAGGGTGAGGATCATCGGCTCAGTTTCCGAGAGTCCATGGGACGTCCACTATAACTGCCTGATGCACCAAGTACACATCTAATATACCTAATATACATCTCAATACCCATATCCAGGCCCAGAAGGGCTCTTTCCAGAGCCTTTGTGTATTTCTTGTGTATGTCTGAGTAACTTCTTAAACATTCTATGTCTCAATTTCCTCAGTTTTAAAGTGGGGGACTGTTTCATGGGGTGATTGTGAGAATTAAATGAGCTAAGCAACGTAAGGTATTTTGGACCATCTTTAAGTGTCTATTATTAAAATACAGACAGATTTGAGGTAATCAGCACAAAGGTGCCAGCTGAAGCCCCGTGTGTAGGTAGAGCCATGGAGTGGATGAGATGACTGAGAAAGCACAGAATAAGGGAAAGGGCCAAAGATGGATTCAACCCGAGGGGCAGCAATGTCTAAGCAGTGGGCAAAAAAGGAGACTAAAGGGGCCCATAGAGAAGACTGAAAAGGGATAGCAGTACTCAGCAGTGTTCGGGCCTCTGAGGAAGATAAAGATGGAGACCATGTGCTGTGGACGGAGGCCCATGAGCTTGATGGCAGGGCCTGGCAGTAGTGGGGCGAACAGCAGGTGGTCTGGGTTATCTCTCCTCCCAGTAGATGGCCAGTAAAGGCTGTGGGCCACAGAAACCTCTGTGGAGCAACAACACTGCTCTGTGGGGGCTGAGGTTTCACACTGGGGTTGCCTCATATAGGCTATATCTTGAGAGAGGAGGGCATATGGTTTCTGGGTCACATTCACTACCTTGGCGTGGGCACAGTCACCAGTTCCTTCACATTTTCTTCCAGCAACTTTGTATATGACGATGGGAACCAACCCCTCCTGGATAAAAAAAAAGTGAGATCTGTTTGTGGCTTTAGAGGCAGGTGTGAAATCAGTCCCTGCAATAAGGGGAATCTGTAGGATAGCTCAGAGCAGTCTTGGCCCAGGCTGGCCATGAAGGCTCATGAGTAGACTGAATGAAGTGGAGATTTTTAATTTTTTAAAATTTATTTACTTGGTACAGGGTCTCACTCATTACATGGCTTGGACTTGTAGTGATCCTCCTGTCTCAGCTTCCCCAGCGCTGGGATCACAGGCGTGCGCCACCATGCCTGGACTAGGTAGCCAGCTCAGTGTGCCTGGGGGCAGGGCCAGTGTGGCATGTGGTGCCAGAGACTGAACTCTGGTCCCTGTGCTTGCTTAGGCAGGTGCTTAGTCTGCTGAGCTATCTCACTGGCCCTAGCTTCTATAAATAAATGTGTACACACATGCAACAATGCATATCTTTGTACATAACATTCCTATTATTAGGCTTTTTTATTTTTATTTATTTTTTGAGATAGGGTCTCAGTATATAGATCAGGCTGGCCTGGATTCATTATGTAGCTCAGGCTGGCCCAAAGCTTGTGGCAATCTTCCTCAGCTTCCTGAGTGCTGGGATTATAGGTGTGAGCCACCACACCTGACTCCCTTTTTATTTTTTATATCAGTTTTATTTTATGTACCTGAATACAACCTGCCAACCTAGGACAAAAAGGCTTATGCACCTACCTGTGGATGAACGCTGTAGGTGACATTTACACTATATCTTAAATCTTAAAGTGTACCTGATATGCAGATTACCCCTGAGAAATCAAAAGTTATTATTTTTGTTTTTTTGAGACAAGGTCTCACTATGCAGTACAGGCTGGCTTTGAACTCACTAGCTCAAGCTGGTCTCAAATTTGTGATCTTCTTGCCTTTGTCTGTTGAGTACCCTAATTATAGGCATATGCCACCACTGGCAAGTGTCATACATTTTAAAACAACAAAAGAATATTTAAGCCATGTGTTGGGGTGTCATATGACTTAATAATTATCTATATACCAAATTTATCTGGATCTGCACAAATATACGAAAGATAGCCCAGCATGGAGTAAGTCCAGCTAACTATACCATAAACCTGACTCCAGCTGATACACACTGAGTCTGTAGCTGAAGTGCACAGATAACACCCTCTGAAGCCAGGACCTTGGGCACCTGTGCAGATGGGCTTGTGGTGACTCACGCTTTGGTGCCATCATGCTCCCCATAGAGCCAGCCATCCTTCTCCTCAGAGATGAGCAGTGTGATGACGTCACCCTGTGCAAAGCTGAGTAAGGTGTTGTTGGCGCCAGCAGTGTGTGGGAAGATGGTCTTGACTTTCTGCTTCTTCATCATGTTCAGTCCGGTTGCGACCGAAACTGATCGTTGTAAACTGGCATCTTCCGAAGTGTCTGTTAAAGTGAACGTGGCAGCAATGGCTTTTCAGTGTGCAACAGAGAAGTTCAAAAGCCACAATCCCAGAAAACTACTCATTTTTATATCCTGTCCAGATAATATGGTGGAAACTAATTGTGACAGATTTCAGGGCTTTCCCATTGCCCAGGTGGGACAAGGCCTGTAGGAAGCAGCAGGCCTTGGACTGAGGGCTGGCAGAGGAGGTCTGTGGCTGCTTTAGAGAAGGATGTGGCTGGGCATCATGGCACCAGCCTGTAATCCAAGCACTCTGGCAGGCTGAGGCAGGAGGAACCCAAGTTCTAGCCCACCTGAGCTACTCAGCAAGACCTTGTGAGGAAAAAAAAGAGGCAGCTAAGGTAACAACTCAAACCAGTGCTGATGTCCTATGCCATGAGGCAAAGGAGCAAACTGGAAACATGGACATTCTGGCTTCTCTCCCCAAGCACAGCAGAGAATGAGGGGAGGAGGTCCCTCACTGGGTCCTCAGCCAACCATCTCTCTGGAGTCCTTCACACAGCCTCCTGAAGATGGCATGGTTACTGCTGACACTGACAGATGTGCAAACTGAGCTGAGAGAGTTCTGAGGCTGATCAGGATCACAAAGCCAGTAAGAGATCAAAGCAGACACTATCCATGCACAGCTGAGCCCACAGCCTCTACTTGTGGGCACCACTCTGCTCAGATCATGCTCAGCTCAGCCGCAGGCTGACAGTTTCCACTCCAGAACACACAAACTGGGATGGAGATTTAAGGCAAAGCAATGGAAAATTGCTTTTGGCTTTATTTTTATGACTTAATAACTGCAACATAAACTTTGCTGTCTCTTTAACCTGCCACTCCCTGATTACTTCAGTAGTATTAAACACACCAGCAATCGTCACTTAGCTTTTACCAAAATGAACTGGAGTCATTTGACTGCCTGGGCCAGAGTATTATATACTTTAACATTATCTCTTGTGTTGTTTCCTTTGAAAGCAATAACTACAGGCCATCACTTTCCCTTGCTATAGCAATCCTCACTGCCATTATGGCGATCTCTTATCTTTTGCCTAACACAGCTTCAAATGCTAGGATCTGTGAGCTCTTGCCAGGGGCCAACTTGATTGCAGCAACTTTCATACTGAAAGGGGCTTATGACACCCCACACAGATAGGTCAGGAGCCATGATACAGGTCTGGAGGGTCCTGGTTGCTAAGGACTGTGTAGGAACAGTGGAGTTTAAATAGAGAAGTAGAAAATGTCTTCAAACAGTGACGGTTCTGGTTTGTTGAAATATAGTCAGCACTTTAGAAATTTAAGAAATCATATTTACGTCTCCAGAAACCATGAAGTTTCTTGTTAGCTATGAAGAAAAATGTGAAGAAATTTCAAATTAAGCCTATTAAGACTAATAACCAGGGCTGGGGAGATAGCTCAGTAGAGTAAGTGCTTGCTTGGCTAGCTCAAGGTCCTGAGTTCAATCTCCAGTATTGAAAAAAAAAAAAAAAAAAAAAAAGATTAATAACCATAATTTTGTCATATTAACTTTTATAGTTTATTTTACTGAAAATCTATCATTATAGTCACCAAATATGAAGCAAAGTGTGAGGCTGTGTACATTCTATCCTAATTATTTAATTCTATTTTTCAATTTCTTTCCCCCCAGTATGGGGGACTAGACTGAGGCCTCATAGCCTCAAAATGACCTATGTCTTCAGCCCTTTTTATTATGAGACAGGGTTTTACTAAATTCCCCAGGTTGGTCTCAAACTTGTGATTTCCTGCTTCAACTCCCTAGAATTTTGGATTACCAGCATGTGTCACTGACCCCAGGCATTTATCTTTAAATAGAATACTTTTCAATAGTAGCTTTATTCTTTGTAAGCACCCACTAGTATATAGAACTAGTAAGAGTCAATGGAATATTTTACTTATCCAAATATCTTGTCCTCTAGACCTTTGGAGGTTTAAGCTACTCAAAACGAGGTCTACACACATCTACCATACCTGTCTATTTCTCCCTCACATTTGTCCAAAAGTAATTTATCTCACAAATTACTTTTCAAAAAAAAAAAAAAAAATTAAAAGGATACCTTTGAAAATCAAATGAGAGCCAGGTGTGGTAGTGCACGCCTGTAGTTCTAGAACTTGGGAGGCTGAAGCAGGAGGATCACTGTGAGGTCAAGGCCAGCCTGGATTACACAGCAAGACTATCTCAAATATCAAAAACAAAAACATCAAACTGGGCATCTTACCTGCTGAGTTGTTAATTTTTTCTGAATTCTGTGCAACTGTTGCTGGGTTAGTGAACATATCAACCAAAGGACTGGTATATGCTTTGGCTGAAGTTGCTGGAGGTATCTTTGGTGAATATTGGGTATCATAGTCTTTCCCACCCTATAAAAAAATTCCTTATTAGTCTAGTTTTACAGTAACACTGTAATGAAAAGGGCTGGCTTGTATTACGTACTTTCACCTCCCACCTTCAAAGCAGCTCCTCTCGGTCAACCATTGATGTGCTTTCTGATAAGCTTTCTGTCTCTTGATTTTAGGCCCCTGCTTAAGTGCAACTTGGCTATAGAATTCTACATTGAAGACAATTTTTCCACAGAATTTTAAAACCATTCTTCTACTAACTTCTGATTTTCTTTTGCTAAAAGAAATCTGGTATCAGTGCATTTACTTTTACTTATAACTAAAATTTCCCCCCCTCTTCAACAGTTTTGGGCTGGGGGGATAGCTCAGTGGCATAAGCGCCTGCCTGGCAAGCACAAGGTCCTCAGTTCGATTCCTGATTCTCCTCCTCAAAAAAGATTTTAGGCCTTTTTTTCTATCATTCTAAAGCTCAGCCCTAATTATGCAGGTGTTAGATCCCTATGGCTGATGGGTTCAAGACTGGATAAAAAAGCTAGGTGTGGTGGTGTGCAACTGTGATCCCAGCACTCAGCATGGAAAGATCATAAGTTTGAGGCTGGCCTGGGCTATGTAGCAAGTTCAAGAACAGCCTGAATTACACATTGGGATCCTGTCTCAAAAAACAAAACAATACAAAACCAAACAAAAATAACCAAGCAGGCAGAAGATCAGTGAGATAATCTCCTTAAGGACAGTGTTTAGAAGGCTGGAGGAGAGGGACACAAGTGAACATGGCGTGGACTCTGGATGAAGGAAGGGGATATGCTGATGGGATTTTGTAGTTTAGGAGAGAGGAGTTGATGTTTTATACCTGAGCCACTGGAAGGATGAGGTTGCTATTTATTGGATGAAGAAGAGAGAAGAAGCAAGACTGGGGTGAGAAAATCAGTTCTCTGGTTCTGGGCAATGTGGATTTCAGAGCCTTGCTAGTCACCCAGGTGATGATGCTGAGTGGGCAGCTGGGTAAATCATCCATGTCTCAATCTGCCTACCATGTGTTTATTCCATCTGCCTTATTTAAAAACAAGACAAAACCCTGAAAATCCAACAAACAAAAAATACTTCTTCTATTTTTGCACTGTGTTCTGGGAGAATTCCTTGGCTCCGTTTTTCTTTTTTTTTTTTTCCAGTGCCAGTGGTCAAACTTGGGACTTTGCACTTGCCAGGTGGGTGCTTAAGCCTGCTGAGCTATCTGCCTGGCCCCTTTGGTTCAGTTTTCCAAGTAGCTGTATTCTTTTAGGAGCCCATCTATTGGTCATGGTATTTGGAGGCAAAGGTAGATGAAAAGAAATTAAAAAACAAAAACAAAAAACAAAAAAACCAAACTTTTGTTTTAGAAAACTTTCAAACATGTATCAAAGTAGGTGACAACAGCATAATAAATCTTTATGAGGCCAACACTAGCTTCACTGATAATGATAAATTTTGTTTCATGCATAACTCTACATACCTTCCCAAACTGTCTGGATTACTTTGAAGAAAATTCCATGCATGTCATTTAAACTACAAATAATAATTCACCTTTTAATTCCCAAGAGTTCTTGTGGATTCTTCTTTGTGGATGTAATATCCTCTCCTCTCTAAAGGTTTCTGTTAGCTCTACTACTGACCATGGTGGATTTTATTTTGCTACTGCTTTTATGATGTGGGCTTTCCTTACTCTCTGATGCCTCTTGGCTGTCCTTCATTCTGTGTGAGTCCTCATTCGTTTTACCATGTTTGGCCTCTTCTCCCAACCACACACCACCATGGTGATACAGGGAGGAGACAGGGCAGGCTTCTGGGAGCACACCTGCCCCTCAGTCTTACACAATCTTCTGGTTGGAAACGATAGCCCCTGCTGCTTGTTGTCTGGCACAAGTAGCACACTGGGAAGAAAATGACCAGCGACACAAAGGGATGGCCCAGTTCCTGCTGCTTATATCGTAAGAGGAGTTGCATTCTCTGTACCAGTTTGCACCCCACATGCTTGGGGCTGAGGGTCCTCTACACACCCATCCCACCTCTCTCTCCTTTACAGACTCTATCAGTGTTTCTGATCCTGACTCTCTCTTAGAAAGTCCTTCAGTGTTCCTAGTCTTTGCTGTCATTTCTGGGGGCTTTAGATGGACAGGTATGACGGATTCACGTGTCTAAACTACCTGCTGGGTCCAAAGGGTCCTGTATATTTGTGAACAGTAATAAAGCCCAGTGTCAAATAACAGCGAACTACAACATCTAATTAATTAATTACCTTGAGTACTCTGTTTGCCTGAATGATATATTTTGAGATAAATGACACTGGAGTTTACCAGTCTATTCTTTATGACATCTATTTCCTTCACTGAGAATAAATTTATAAATTTGGAATCAGTGCAATTAAAAACAGTAACAAGGGCCAGCCAAATAGCTCAGATTAAAGTGCCTGCTTAGGCAGACACATGGGCCAGGAGTTCAATCCCCAGGCTGGCACTGCCAGCCCTGCCTCTGGGCACACTGAGATGGCAATTGAGACTGGGCATGGTGGCGCACGCCTGCAATCCCAGCACTTGGGAAGCTGTAAACAGGCGGATCACTCTGAGTCCGATCTACGCAGTGAGACCCTGTATACCCTGTCCTAAATACAAAAAATAAAAATAAAAATAAAAACAGTATAACCGTAAAATTTCTAAGGTAAGGTTTAAGGGTGAGGAAAATAGGGCTAGGCATACAAAAGGAGGGCTCATGATTTCCTTCACCAAGGCAGCGTTGGTCCTTTGGGGTCACTTTAACCCAAATCCTATTGGTAAACACACATCTGAAAATTGAAAAAAGCAGCAGGTTCCTACCATATTGCTTCTCTCGATCATAGGTGATGGCTGAGGTGTCCCAGATACTGGGGTAGAGATTGGAGTCTTTATTTCTTCTATCATGTTGATGACTTTCTCTGGCACTTTGGTGGCATCACAACAGGTTTCCTGCCACCTGGGCAGTTTGGAATGAAGTAATTCTGCTGACTATAAATCCCAAAGAAACAACACAGAGACAAAAGCACAGTGAAGAGCTCACAAAACTGTATCAAATACTGTCACTGATAACATATTATTGAACATATTACTAGCTTACCACCAGAAGGATGGGCGCTAGAGTTTAATTCCATGAGCAGTTTAGGCAACTATGAACCGCTGCTGTGTTTCATTTGCTGAGGAGAAGACAGGCTCTCACCCACTCCCTCAGTGCAAATGCAGAGCTTACAACTAGTATGAGGATGATAAATGATTAAGAATCAATCTAGGAACTGGGCGAGTGGCTCTGTGACAGCACTTGCCTAGTATGTGTCAAGTGCTTGATTCAGTTATGCCCATTATGCCCATCCCTTCCCCTCAGTTCAACATGATTGGGCAATCTATATAAAGTCTACTATTTCCAGGTATCCCTAGAAATGTCAATTGCCAACTCTTCCTCCCACACCCTCAAAAAGCAGTACCTCTGTCATAGGTGAGAGTCCTGGGAACTGACTCTTTGACCTCAGAGAAACTAATGCATGTGTCAGACAGGTGAATCAGATTCTGTCCCAGGAAATCCTTCTACGTGACTGAGGGACTACAGGTAGCACAGCATGGGAAAGTGAAGGGCCACACCCCAACGCAGGCTGAGGCTCTGCAGAGCAGCTAGGCTGTAGCACACAGACAGGAGGGGAAGAGCGGAGACCAGCATCCTGGAGGCTGAGGTGGCTCTCTTGCTCCTATGGGTCTAGCTCTGCTTCTGGCAATGGGACTCTCAGAGGCCCCGAAGCCTTCTGGTGAATCCCTTTTCCAGGGAAGCAATGTAGCTAGAGAAGGGGCCTTTCCTGAAACTCTTTACAAGGCAATCAACCTATTCTTGCCCAGCTCTGGGTCTGCCATGGGTGGCTGGGGCCATGGACAGAAATTGTAGGGAAGGAAAGAGAGCCTTTCTCTCTATACCAACTCTGGCCCTGGCAAACTGGGGCACTGCCACACTGTGGACCAAGTGCTTGGGCCTGGTTCATCCAAGAGCCACAGAAAGTACTAGAATATGTCAGGGATATTAAGGAAGCCACAAAACAACTTTCAGGTAGCTGAAGAAACTTCCAGTACAGAAAGAAGCAGGCTTTGTACCATTCTACAAAGTATAACTGGGAATCAAAGCTATATGTAAGAAATAACTAAAAGTAGCCATAGTTGCTTCATCAAATACAGCAGTATGGTCATAGAAAGGAAGCTTCAAGGCCATCTCCACAACTCTGCCTCAAGGAGGCCCTTACCACAGAAACAGGTTTCTAGAGCTACCTGGACATTGCTTTAATTAGTGTAGACACACAGTGGACAAAAATGATAAGACAGTAACTTTTTCCTTTCATGTAACAATTTTAGATCTTAAGTATTTTAGATTAAGTAGGTAAATATTCCTTAAAGTTGCAAAAACTTTACAGAATATATAACATGCATACATACACACAAGACCAAGGCTTTTCCTCCTGAAAATGAGGGACTTAAGTTTAAATCCTTGCAAAGCTTCTCATATTGGAGAGGATTCTCTAAGTTACTTTACTAGAAGCAACACTAAATATCTGGCCTTCGTTAGTGCTAGTTTTGGATTTGTGTACAGGCCCAGGAGAATCCATAATTTTTAAAAAGGCAAATTTAGCACTTGTTGCATCATAGCTCTTGGGCTCTATGCTCACAGCTGCCTGTGTCAGGAGGAGGGAACTAAGCCAGTCATTCAGCTGAGGGGAGCATGAATGAACAACCTGAAAAGCAGAGGACCAAATGTCCTGTTGGGGGTGTGGCCTGTGGTAGAGCTGCCATTGACAGCCCTCGTGCCCTCCAGATATACCCAGAACACCCAGGAGCTGGCCCTTGAAAGACACTGACACCCACAACAAATCATTCTACAGAAATCTGACTCAGGTGAGAAAAGCAAAAAGGTACCACTTCTCAATATCTGATTTTTTTATGTATTTGGTACAGGGTCTCACTGTGCAGATCGGACTTGTAGCGATCCTCCTGTTTTCAGCCTCTCCCGCGCTGGGATTATAGATGGGCATCACCACACCCAGTCTCTGTGGCCAGCTCAGTGCGCCCAGGAGCAGGGTTGGCATGGCATGTGGGATCGGGGATCGAACCCCTGTCCCTGTGGTTGCCTAAACAGGTGCTTAATCTGCTGAGCTATCTCACCAGTCTCACCAGACTGAGCATTTTTTTAATGAGTGAATTAAAATATGGATTCTGTTGGGCTCACCTGTAAGTGATAATGGTGTATATGATTTGCAAAGCTACAGTGTTTGTCCACAAGAAAGCAGAAGCGTCTTTTCTCTTCAAGCAGAGCTTCTTTGCAACCATCTGCAATGAATTTCTGGATTTCACTTTGGCGAGAAGTAACGGTCTCTACATACTAGGAAAATAACACAGATACAAGTCTGACATGGGGCATCCGATAGCGGTATAGCCTGACACTTACCTTCTGCCACTTTTACACTTGGCTTATTTTGATAATGGAGCAAACACTAAACACAGATAAACACTAGACAAAGCTGTAACCTGACCTGAACAGATATCACTGTCATTATTAAGATCCCCGACTCACCCTTGGAGGGAAGTTGCCACAGGCTTCACACTTCCCTAGAGCCCAAGAATGATCTTGTTCTACTGGACAGCATGGTGGATTTTAGAACCAGACAGTACCATGTTGAAATGCCTGCTCCAAATGTCAACCACAGGATATAATCTAAGCCTCCTTTTCCTCACCATAAATAAAATGGGGACAGCACCACTAGTCATGGTGCCTTCTTCTCCCTGACCCAGGGGGAAAGACCAAGGTTTTTAAGAGACCACAGACCAGTTATGCTAGCTGCAGAACACTCGGCAGCCTTCTGCTCTGAGTCAGAGTGCTTACTTTTACTTTCAGCACCAGTACAACAGCAAGTAGATAAAGTACAGACTGACTGAGGGAGGTAAGCTTATTACATTGTTCAATGACCAACAATAAGAGAAAAGGGAATATCGCCAAGAAGTTCACCTCAATTTCTTTGTGTTCATATTTCAGTGCATTCCGTCCTCCTTGACTTTTCCTTCTGATCTTTTTCAGTTCAGCTTGAGACTTCTCCAAAGAATCTAATTTGCTCCTGTGTTCTGCTTGGTATCTTTTAAGAGTTGCCTGTAAATTCAATGTTGTACTTATTTTATTGCAGCACTATGTAGTCACTTCTGCTCACACTTCCACTGTGTGTGGGACTGTGGCCCTCCCACTCCCTCTCCAGATGGTCTTATCCTGCTGGGGACCTCACCCTCACACCTCACACACCCTCCTCCATTCAACTGGATGTGGCAGAGCTGTTGGTTCTAAAGTTCCCTGCTCACAGCAGAGACCCTGGACCAGAAGGACAGTTCTCTGAGGACAGCAGTGTCTTTCTTTTATTCCTTCTTTCTTCAATGGGTTTTGGACACTGGGTAATAAACGTTTTGATGAATAAATAATATTAAATCACATGTTTCTGGTTGTTTTATGACTTAAATTTCAAGAGATATATGAACATTTTGGAGGGGGATGTTTCCTGGTATATAGCAGAATGTTTAAGAACATGGCATCTGGAGACTAACAGACCTGGGTTACAGTTCCAATTACTTGTTTAATCAGCAATTACTTAAATTCTCTATAATTCATGTTTCCCCTCCAATCTGTAAAATGAGGATGATAAAGATACTTATGTCATGCATGGGGTTCCAGTAGGGCTTCAAAATCAGGTAATGTGCACAGCACAGAGGCACAGCACTGGGGAGCAGGCCTTGTGAGCACGACAGGTGGCTTCCAGGTAAACCCTACCGCTTACCGCCATGGTGGGGGTTCTGGTAAGAAAGAGGACTTTGGACGGGCAATGCAAGTGAGCATTCTATGGCAGAAGAGCAAGATGAAAAGAGGCTGGTACCCCGCTGGCAGCCAGATGTTGATGGGAGTTAGAAAACTATTGGATGGATGGTGGTGCTGAGGGCAAGAGGCCCTGGTTGTTGCATGTGTGACTCGAATTCTGGAGCACTGGATTGTGAAAGCACCAGCCCCAGAAGCCAGACACAGAGGTCCTAGCACACAGCCACGTGCTCTGGAAACAGTGCTCTCAGAAGCAGCAGCTTTTCCCGCAACACTTCTGTGCCTTTTAACATAGATCACAAGTGGTAGCAAAAACAGGCCCACTTGGCCCAAAGACACCTTGTTTTTATACATCTGAGTCTATATCAATACCACATTCCATCCCCACTGCTTTTGTGGACTAAAGAGTGGGGAAAGTAACTTTCCAGCTCAGAAGTCTGGCTCATAGGGCAGGGTAGGGGGAAGCTGTGTACTCACATTCATATATTTTACGTCAAGTTCTGTTTTCTTCTCCAGCTCATGGATGATTTCCTTATGGAATTTTTTGAACTGTTCAGAAGAGGAAGTAAAAAATTTACGCCAGGTTTGACGCTTTGGCAAAGTTTTAAAAATAAAACAGGGCTGGTGAGATGGCTCAGTGGTCTAAAAGCACCTACTTGGAACAAGCTTGGCAAAGCACAGGGACTGCGGTTCAATCCCCCAGCACCACATGCCAGCCAGCCCCGCCCCTTGGTGGGCTGAGCTGGCCACACACACACACACACACACACAAATAAATAAATAAAAATTTAAAAAAAATAGTTTAAAAAAAAATAAAACAAAAATTTTGCAAATATAAAAAGAATCCACATACATTTTCATCAAGGGTCTCATTGAGTTTCTTGTGGGTGCTTGAAATCTCTATGAGGACATGGCCTGTGGGCAAAATCAAACATGTTAGGGAAGTCAAAGCATTTCGTTTGCAAAGACAGAAAGGGAAACAAATAGTGGAAGAAAATGCAGGATACCGCTGCACTGAGACACATCAGGAATGGGACTAGGTCCCTCGGGACGGGTTCCAGCAGCAACAGCTGAGAGTAAACTCACTCTACAATCTCAGCAATGAATCTGTCTTCAGATTCATTGTTCTCTCTTTGCTTCCTAAGTCAGGTTCTACGTATCTGATTTTAAAATATTCTTACCAAAGACTCCTCATTCGTCATAGTAACTAACTATAGGAACAAGTGATTTATTTTTATCTACTCCCTACAGTAATCTGATTATTTGCCAACTGTAAGAGAAAATGGCCATTTTTTCTCATTTTAGTTGTTGAAGTGCTCTGGGACACACTAATACCAAGGAAAATTGCAGTAGAGGTGGTGTTCTGCCTTGGATTTCCTAGGTTGATACCACTTCTCTGAAATGGGGCAGCCATATAAGAAGAGAATATTCCAGGACAAAGGAGCCTTAAGCCAAAAAGTAGTAGTAAGGACATTTGGGTGTAGAGCTCATCTCTTTCATAGTTGGTGCCACACTTTTCTCTGAGAAGGGGACTGGTGTCTAAGAGACTAGGGAAACGCAGAGAATCATGTGGAACCACTCACAGTAAGCAACACCAGAGGGTGCCAGTGGATCACCCTGCCGCTCAGTGGCCAGAGAAAAAGGAATTCTTCTGGAGAGTTGAAAGGAAGGATGAACAGTAAGACTGGCAAAAGGTACCTAGAACTTAGGAAGCTGAGGCAGTCATACTGCAGTGAGGACAGTCTTAACTACATAATGAAATCTCCCCCTCCCCCAATAAGACTGGTATAATACGGGGAAAGAGAAAAAATATGTACAGACCGTGTCCTCAGCTGTCACACTGCTATATAGATGACTCCATTATGGCCTGTCCTAGAAGAATTTGAACACAGCCGACTCTTCAGACCATCAGCCTGCCCTTTCCCTCATCTTCCTACTCTGAAATCCAACCTTCATCAGCACATCCACCTCGTCAGGCACCTCACATCTGACACATGTACAAGTGACCTCATTAGCTGTTCATATTCTCTAATCCCAGCTTGTGGCTGCCAGCCAGCCAGCCAGTCACAGGGGTGGAAGGCACCTCTCACCTATGTGTCACAACCCTGACAAGGCTCATTTGCAGTGCAAAGGGTGTCACTGTGTGAGCTGCCTCTAGGGTAGGACATGCCCCTTACTCACCCTGCTTCCTTGGGCAACAATGGTGCTGGCCCCTCCCAGACTCTGTTTCCCTTCCTGCCCAGGAAGGAGACATATGGGAATGACACATGGCACCGGGGACACATGCTCACCCAGGTCTGTTCAATAGTGTAGGGTCGGGGTCTCTTCACATCCATGCACAAACCCTGTGAGATGGGCTTCTTAGGAGGCCCTCTTTTTCCAACCCCATGGACTCCACACCTGGGTCAAGCCTGTCTTATATCTGTGGAGTCCTGGTGTATCCTTCAGAGTTGGCAGGGATCTTTCCAAGTGCAAATGAAGTAGATCACTCCTCTATATTCCCCATGGGGTTCCTGATAAAGTGGCTCCTGGGTGACAAGCTGAAGCACCCACGAATGGTGTGCCTGAACCCTCCTTGTGATGGGGACAGAAAATCTCCTGTAGGTACATAACTTGGTGAGATACAGTGAAATGTCCTTCAATGTAAGCTCTAACAGGGCACCTTGCTAGATGGGTGAGCGCCACAGCACAGCTATCCCCCTCAGTTAAGCTCTCACCCCCCAAATTCACAAGCCTCCTACTCTATATCCTTAAGAATGTTGACCCAAAACTCAGAGTGAAACAAAACAAAACAATACAAACTGAGCCTGGTGGCATATGTCTGTAATTCTAGCATGTTGGGAAGCTAAGGAAGAGGATCCCAAGTTTGAGTGTTGCCTGGGCAACTTGTAAGACCCTATCATGAAATGAAAAAGAGCTGGGGATACAGCTCAGTGTGAAGGCCCTGAGTTTAACCCTCAGTACCAAACAAACACAGAAACAAACAGGAATTCTTCACAAAAGAAGTCTTCCCATGGCCAAGAATATGATTACATTATGTTATGCGGTTATCATTTAGTCATTTCAGATATCGAAATACTGTGAATTACTTTTATATTTATTCAAACCCACTTCAATTCTTTGCAAATTAAGCAGTGTATTCTTGGCAAGTCAGCTTGACTTAGGAAAAAATGTCTCTAACATTTGGGCTTAAATCATCAGAGCAATTCAGGATAGAAGCAGGGCAGCCCCATTTGTTTCTCATACTATGTTCCCTTTCATGAACTTTGCTTCCACAACCACACAGACAGTGATCTCTGAGAAGTGCCCAGTGTGCTGGTGTGGGCACGCCTGTGGATGTGGACACAGTAAACTCGGTGCTCCGGCCTCTGCAGCCCAGCCCACTGCACACCACTCCTCACACTGCGTGCTCCTCCTGGGGTTTCTGCTGCCGCAGGCCAAGACTCAGTGAAACAGCCCATTCACTGCAGCAGGAAAGGAACTCTTGACCTTGTTATTCTTGTCCCTCACTGTTCGTGGAATTCCAAAGGCGGTCCCATAGCAGCAGCTACTGAGTCCTCAGTCATAAAAAGGATCAAAACACACCTTGGCTGTGATTATGCAAGCTGCTAAAGCGTATCTTGAGACAAAATACGAAAACTATGTTTTTGTTCAATCTGCAGAAGTTTAACCTTAAACTGAGCAAGTGTTACTTCACGTCGTACCTCTTGGTTTACTTAGTCTCGTAATCCCCTTTTTCTATACATTACATTTGAGAAAGGAAAAAAAACCCGCAAACATCCAAGGGTGGAGCTGAGAAGGCACAGCCCAGACTCAAATGGAGCAGAACTAAGTGTGTCCAACAGGAAGCCACGCCCCCTGTGCGCTGCACCAATCCTCCCCTTTTTCCCCTTCAAGTGTGGAACCAACATTTTGGGAAGAAATTCACAGCAGTTAAAGTGATATGACTCAGTCTGAATAAGTTATGTTGTGAAGTGGCAACGCTAAAGGAATTTATTATTTAAAACATTTTTCATTAAGATTGATAGCCCAAATCGTTTGATAATAACAATAAGCTTTTCTTCTGGATGGTTAACAACCTAAGTTTGCAGACCAAATTAGAGAAAAAGGAAGGATACAAGGAAAGCCAACATTTTGGCCCTAACCTTCGAAGGTCAATTAAGACTCAGGACATATGAGAACTTGTACTGTAACGTCATGTACCTCGGTAGTGTCCCAAATTTTCTGATCAAGAAGATTATGGGGCCAAAGAGGAAAGTGATCGATGACGTAGAGTGTGCCTAAGGAGAGTCACATGGGGAGAAGACACTCTCTCAGGCTTTCACAGAGAGCACATTGGCCAAGCATTGGCCGTGACTCATCCACATGGCTGCACTGATGAAGGTTCTACAATCTGAGGTACAGGATCTCAGGACAAATCCTGAGGGCATTTCACTGACCTTCTAAGACCAAAAAGCTACAACTCTTCTTGCATAGGTCCTGCTTTACCTTGGTCTTAACCATCCAGTAGAAAAGTATGAAGTCGAAATATAAAAAATAAAGCCATGCTGTTAAGTTGAGCTGTGGGGGACTCAGGTCAATAATTTCTGACATCGCCAGTTAAATATAAGACCCAATGCTATTATAGGCTACTGGACTCTTTTAGAATATTTTGCTGAGTTTACACACCTATAATATTCAATAATGTAACTTAGAAAAAATGGGGTATACCGATGAATGTCCATTTTGTATCTGTGTATTCAAAGAGGTTGGGATAGATATATAGTTGCATTCTCTTAATGAATAGAATGATTTGTTCTAATGGTGTTTGTGAATAGGATCACAAGTCCGCATCTTGTACAGCAATTAACCACTAAGAAGAATATATGCAGTGTATTATTTGTTGAAACTGTCCTTCCGATTTGATTTGAAACTGTCTCATTGCTATCTCTTTGTCAATAAAACTTTGAAAAAAAAATAAAAATAAAATAAAATAAAATAAAATAAAAAAAAAAAAAAAAAAAAAAACATTTTTCATGGTGTTGGAAATTGAACTCAGGGTTGAAGGTGTGCTAGACAACATCATCATTCAGTTATACCCCAGCTCAAAGGTCTTAAACATAACCACATTTCAACATCATGAATTCAACTAAAAGGCAATGTTTACTGTCAGTTTTTCTCAAAATTCTACTACTAGCAGCTTACAATGGTATTACTCTAATTATCAGGAACTATGAATTAGCATGTCCAACTTTTTGAAGAATACTATAAAGCATATTCATTTGGCTAACAGGCAGTCTGGACTTAAAACATTAACAAAACATAAGGAATATCACTGGCATGAAGGGGTCACGGGGCTCCCTATCTCCTCTTGGCGCTGATGACAGAACCTAGGGCCTGGTACAGGATCCACCATTTAGGCAAGTGATCCACCACTAAACCACACCTAGAACTTCCCTGGATTACTAATGCATTTCTAACTAGACAGTTGTTCACTAACTCACGGTCGAAATGTAGGTCATCCAGGAGACTGTGAAAGTTCTGGAGCCACACAGAACATATGTCAAACACACAAACACTTGAAGGATTTTCTCCATTTATATCTGGCCACAGATCATCCCAATACACTCATTTCCAGGGAGCATAGAATATGACCAAGTCAGAAGCCACTTCCTACATGTTACTACAAGTGGAACTGGATGATGATAAAACTACTGGGTGCAAGCCAGCCTGTTATTGATCTATGGTTATACTGTGCAGATCACAGTGAAATACAACAAAAATGTCACTGGAAAAAGGACAGAATTTTCCAACTATCAAATGGCATGAAAAAAAAAAAAAAAAAAAAACAAATGGCATGAAAAGAAATTATAATGGAAGTAAAATAAAGTACATGTTATATCACCTGACCAGGTATACATTCTGCTGATCCACGT